CCCCAGGCTTTGCTTCCCCACCAAACCTCTCTATAAACCTCCTCCTTCCATCCCTTGTGTTCCAGGCCACCGCCAAGCCCCTCCGGTACCATCACAGCCGCCTACGGCCAGCCCCAGAACCACTCCATCCCGGTGTACGAGATGAAATTCCCGGACCTGTGCGTGTACTGAGGGCAGAGCCAGCGCTGCGCACCTCGCACCCAAGGACCTCGGCGAGAGGCTGCTGACCCCGGGGGGAGCGCGTCCTCGGGCAGGACGGGTGGGGACAAGGACACCGAGGCCACCCCAAGATTCGTTGGCACCACTAACCCGTCTCCAGTACTTTATTTTGGGACCTTCTGCCAGGTTTTGGAGCGGTTGGTGGTGCGGGGGGCTCGGGGACGGTGGCACGGGGAGGTGGGTGGTTGCTGTGACCTCCCACTCCAGTTTTATTTTTGGAGAGGGAAGAGGAGATGCTCTGGCTCCTGTGTGCATCTTCCCGGCATAAAGCAAACCTGTTCCCCGGGGAATCCCTCCCTGCATCATCTCTCTGCCACATCGAGAGCTCCTGGCATGGGGCACAGTGGAGCTGGTGGGTGTAAAAGGCAGGAGAGGAGCTGGGGTGTGGTGTGCTGGAGCCTGGGGCAGCCCCAAAACCAAAACCTGCCGGAGCTGGTGCTTGAGGCAGGTCTCTGGACCACATCTGCATCTTCCCGGAGCCCCTCGTCGCGTGGCCAGTTCATCAGGGTGCCCGATGATGGGGACGGAGGGTCTGCCCAGTGCAGCATGAGGGTGGTGAGCGTCGCATCCCAGTGCGGGGACACACAGCAGCCTGGCTGGTTCCAGGTGACTTGAAAATAGGATTTGTTTGGGAAAACCTGCTTTTTTGTTTTGGGAAAACCCGTAAGAGCCGTGCCTCTCGCCTGGGTCATGAGCAGGATGCTCCCAGGGTGCTGGTGGGACCTGGAGCAGTGACACAAGGCATGAGCATCCCCAATATTAACACGTTAACCCACTCTTTTCGTATTTTGGGGTTGGGTTTTCAAGTTTTGGGGTTCTTGTCTCAAAGAATTATTTTATTTATTTTTTTTTTAGCAGAATCACTTTGACAAAGTCCAATTTCAACTCAGCTGAGCCATAACCACAAAGAAACCCCAGTGCTGCAGGAAATCTCTGCGATAAGGTGTTTTCAGGGTCCACCCCACAGACCCTGCATCCGGCCGGGTGCAGATCTGCCTCTTCTTGTGCCATAGGATAAAACCCGATTCGGGCTGGGGGGAGATGAGCCTATCGAGAGTTTTGCTTTAGACACACATGGGAGAAAATTCTGGGTCCTACCCATCCAAAACTGCAAGGTGAAGATGACAGGGATGGGGATAGGGCACTTGGGGGTGTTCAGGGGTTTATAGGGGGGGTTCAGTCATTCACAGGGGGGGTTTCAGTGGTTCCCAG